ACCAGCGTCTTCATATCAAGGAAGAGCGGCAACTCAACTGTCCTCACTGTCCGTTCGTCACAGAATACAAACATCATCTGGAATACCACATTCGCAATCACCTGGGATCAAAACCCTACAAGTGCTCCAAGTGTAATTACGAGTGTGTAAATAAGTCCATGCTCAACAGTCACATGAAGTCGCACACTAACATCTACCAGTACCGCTGTGCCGACTGCAACTACGCTACCAAATACTGTCACAGTCTGAAGATGCACTTAAGCAAACATGGCCATAATCCTGCCATGGTGTTAAATGTGGATGGCAGTCTTCCGGAGGGTAGCTGCGGTTCTACTGAATCCCAGCAGATGAAATACAATCCCTCTGAGCGGTGTTTGCCAGAGGTCCCTAGCCTGCCCCCCGGCCCCTTCATTCCACACATCACACTATCGCCTAACCCACAGGGGGATACATGTTCGCTCATCAGATCCTCCCAACTTGCACCCAAACTGCCCACCCACTACGCGCTTAATTCTTTTGAGAAGACCTTCCAGACATTTCTACCTCCGCCGCCCCCTCTGTCGCCGGCCAAGCCCTGCCACACCAATTTTCCATCGCCACACTCCTCCTGGCTTTCAACAAAAGGCCTTCCTACACCCCTCTCTGGTTTCTCGCCCTCCATGCCCCTCCTGTCACCAGGGCTGCCTCTGAATTTCCCACCCTCGCCTACTGCAGTCGCGGCAATGGCCGCGTTTATGCTATCCGCGCAGCAACATGCCTTCAGCAGTGTGGACTCGCTAATAAGCCAGCATCAACTAGAGACAAAGGCGAGGGAAGAGAGGGCGGACAGACAGGAAGTGACTGTGCAACCAATGCCCCAGTTGCTCAAAGGCGAGTCGAACAATCGTGTACGGTCTCTGGACGCCTGGCCGGACGATGTCGATGGGTATTCGCGCTTCCTCCCACCGACAGGGGTAACCACACGCGATGAATGTATTCTGCGGTCGCATTTCCATTCCACGAGCTCTAAGCTGGATGATAGCGGGGATTCGGCACTGAATCTATGCGATGGTGTACTTGATTTGAGTTCTAGGGGTGTTCAACGCATGGATGTCGTTCAGGAGACAGAGACAAAAGTCCGAACCGAAAATGAGAACCCAGTGGCGATCAGTGGTCGAATTCCCCCGTGTGATCTGCCTCCCCAGGAAGGCACCCCGCGTCTACTTGAGAGCGCCCATGAAGGCGATCACTTGTCAGTGCATGAGCAGAGTGAATGTCCCTACTGTGAAATAATCTTTAAAAACAGAACCCTCTTTGAGCTTCATATGAGGTTCCACAATCCACAAAATCCCTTTGCCTGCAACCAGTGTGGTGTGCAGAGTCGTAGTCAAGTAGAATTTTTTACTCACCTCAGCGAAAAAGAACACATCAGCCACTGACAGTAAAGGGCAGATATCTTATTTTTATACTTGCGGACAGCATTTTAGTGCTGTACTATCAATACTAACTTTACCTACTATTGCGTATATCTTTTTTCTATCCTTTTACTCAATTTTAGAAGTAAGGTAGTCAGAGGTTGGTATGGAGCAAACAATCTGAGAAAACAGACTGTCGGTTTAAATTTAGGCACGTTTCACGCACCTGACAAGAATATGTGTGGCTACATATGGACTAAAATAATAACAATAGAAGGAATCTAAGTCAATTTTCCTTCCTTTTTTGGCGTCAGTCAACGCTGTATCAGTTCGGACTGTGAGTTAAACCTGTTGGAACCTGTGAAGTTTTTGCACTCTTTGTTCTAGGAAGGTCAGAGCGAATATAATGATGTCCCAAAGTGGAAAACAGAATATGTGGAAATTACAACTGAAAAAAACAGACGTGTCTAAGTGGGTCACAATAACATATTATAAGTGGGCTGTTGGAATACATGCATGCCGAAATGAGCATAACAAGTTATTGCTGTATGCCAAATGAGCAACGAATGAAGGATACCAAGCAAATTCCATCATTACTATGTATTTTTTCCTTTATTGAAACGTTTCTATATCGCTTCCCTATTTCCATCGCCACGTGCAAGACGTCGTGTGCCTGCGTTGCTATGACATACATTAAAAATTTTCTTCCTCCAAACTGGAAGATTAATTTGTACCCCTAAGCCAATAATGTTTGTTGATGTGGATAGCATTTCGTACCTTCAAATTCTCGGCAATAGTGCCGTCGAAGTATTCATACAGCGAAGCACATAGTTATTAGGAAGGAGGTTGACCGATCACGTACTTATAAGTTTATCTGATTATTTGTGGCGGAATCAAAATTTAGTCAAATTTAAATAACAGAGCAGATTCGACCAGTCGGCACACATATCCGTCGATTAAATGGCCTACCTAAGATCCATAAGGAAGGCCTGCCGGTCCGTCCGATTTTAGACATGCGAAGCTCTCCGTATCATGCGATGGCAAAGTGGCTAGCAGAGAAACTCAAGCCTGTACAGCGTCAGCTAGTATCACGCAGCTACCGAGATACCCTTGAATTCATTGACGACATCAAAGACCTTAACGTAAACCGCATGGTGATGTTCTCGCTAGACGTCTCATCACTTTTTACAAACGTTCCGGTCACCGAGAGAGTTGACTACGTCTGTGATTTTCTATCTGCCAGCCAGCAGGAAATAGGGATTCCGACGAAGACACTCAAGGAACTATTACTAAGATGCACATTAAATGTGCAGTTACTGTTCGACAACCAACTCTATAGACAAGTAGACGGCGTTGCTATGGGCTACCCCTTGGACTTCTCCAAGCCGATGTCTTCATGGGAAAATGGGAGAGATTCCAACTAAGCGAAAAGATCGATAAGCTTAAACATTACGGTCGCTATGTTGATTCTATTTTTGCCATTGCCACTGCAGAAACCGATGTAACAACCCTCTTAGATGCGGCAAATCAGGTCCATCCGTCCATGAAATTCACGCTGGAGATGGAAACGGCCGGTTTGCTCCCTTTCTTAGATGTTCTTATAAGCAGGAGACCTGACCGGAGTGTCCGAAGAAGCGTCTATCGGAAGAAAACCTGGTCTGGACAATACACGAACTTCGCCAGTTTCGTACCCCTCCAACAAAAACGAAATCTAGTCCGATGGTTGGCACAAAGAGCGAGAAAAATTTGCTCAACAGATGGCATCGAGGAGGAGCTCAGAAAAATCCAGGACTTCCTTCGCGAAAACGGGTATCCTGAAAGGTTTTTTGAAAAGAACATTGCTGAACGACCGATCACACCCGCCACATCGACCGCCAAAAAGAAGACCTTGTTCCTCAAGGTCCCTTTCCAAGGGGACGCCGCGAGTTAACTCATAAGGAGACGCCTTGATCAAACTGTCTCGCGAAGCTTCCCAGCAGCAAGGGCTCAAATAGCATTCTTTACTAACCCGATTTTACGCGGAGAAGGTAAGGATAAGTTGCCACCGCAGACCACCTCAATGAGCATATATTCCTTCACTTGCTCCTGTGGAGCAGGTTATATTGGTCGCACGAGTCGGCGCTTATCCAAGAGAATACTGGAACACCTGCCCGCATGGCTGGCTAAAGGTGAGACTAGGAGAATAGACAGCGCCATTCTCGCGCATGTTGTCGATTCCGGACATCGCGTGGACCCCAACGAAGCTTTTCGTGTAATTTATAAGGTCCCATCGAGCTACCCTAAGCTACAAGGCCAGCGCCTGTTAGCGACAGCGGAAGCGGCAGCCATTAGGCTACGAAAGCCAATCTTATGCTCACAGAAGAACCACGTTCGGACCCCGCGCCTACAATGGTCGAAGGTCGACTAACGCTGCTACACTCCGCTGCTACACTGACACTGACTTCTATTACCCCCCCCCCCACATTCCCACACCCGGCCTGTGTTTGAAGTAGAAATTTTATCGATTTTTTTATTGCTGACATAATTTCCTTCTACCCCGTTCCCATATAACTGTACTGGCCCGACGAGAATTTATCGAAAGCTACGTATGCTCGCCACCTCTTCTTCAAGTTTAAATAGGCTCCACTCATGGCTCATGAGGCTATTTCTCCAGCCTATATACAGCCTTCTATGAACTGCTTCTCTGTGTATTTTTGAAGCATTTTCCCCGGTATGAATTCAGAACAGACATACACGCTAGAGTTTACTGACTCCAACAAATTTTGCGACAACCTATCGACTGGAACCCACAGTTGCATGACACACGGACGACGAATAAGGGACGTTCAGCAGAATGATATTACCGACATTCAGCAATTTTAATCCATAATAGAAGATCAATAAAAAGCTGCAAGGTCATTGCTTAGTACATACAATAGAAATGGTGACTAGAAGGCGCAATTTAGGAATAAACAGATGGGGAGTGTTAACACACAAAAGGGGAGTGTAAATTGAAGGTCTTGAGATTACCAGGGTAAGTTGAGACTGACCACGTGGTCTAGCTGTTCGCATAGGTCGAGTTTCTTCCGCCGTAGGTAGAAGGCTTCCAAGTAGCGCGATGTCCGGCGTGCCCGCTATTTACGAGGTGTTTCACGAAGGAAGAACTAGGGGTTTTATTTTCTTGCTTTAAAAGTCATTTAGGCAGGTGTGCAACTGACTTGCCTGCCAGTCGCCATTGCATGCTCCCAATCTATTTGCATCCACAAGTGCATGTGAATTCATAAACACAATTTGAGTTGTAAGGCATCCTTCGTCCCTGGAATTGTAATAACTTTGTTAGAACTGTTGAATATGAGTTCAGCTGAATTGTATGCCGTTTCAGTGGTGCAGCTCAACCGTCAGTTGATGGTGTTTGAAATATCGTCATCCTTAAGGGCTTAGAGTGTCAGAACGGGATTTTTCGGAACCGACCGTTCAACAGGTTTGACCGCAATGGGTTGCTGTACTTTTGGGTGAAGTGTGCTGGGTTGTCATATCCGAGCAAGGTTGCCTTGAGGCAGGAAATTTCTGTATTTAGTGTCTCAGTAAAGAGAATGTTTCTCACCCTTTGGAAGAGAGTGTACACCAGGTTTCGTTTTATTTATACTGGTAATGACCTTTTTGATAAGGGTTAAGTATATGCACGGGGTAAGGGAAAACTATGGAGGATTGCCTAAAACATTTTTAAAAGTAGGCGTTGTTCGGTAGGGTCTTTGGTACGCCCTTAATCGGCAGAATGACATTCGCCGAACTCTATCGCCCCGAGGAGCCGGTCCACTGTTTCGCATCCCCCACGCGTAATTCTTTAGCGAGATGAATGCTCATTTTTAAATAACGTTCGGCACGAAGAGCAGTCAGGTAGCAAAAAAAACTCGAAATATTGTCAGATGGAACGAATACGACTGCCAGCAAAGCAGGAGTGTTAAAACGCTGGCGAATTTGTCAAACAACAGTTAAGATTTTCCTTTCCCCGCATATACTTGATCCTTTCCAACCTTTCCTTGTACTCTTATGATAAACCCACCGTCTTGCCAAATCATGTTCATGTCTAAACAGGAAGACGTCCAGAAAAGATAGACTGTTGCACTGTTCCTTTTCCATCGTGAATTTAATTTGCGAATGGAGAGTATTCATAGCAATAAGTGAGTCTTCGATTCTTTCACTGTTATCAAAAATCTCGAATAAATCATTACATGTCTTCTGTATAATGTTTTCACGTTTAATTTCAAAGAAACCTTTTCTTCTTGGCGATTCACAAAATATCGGCAAACGGTGGACCACTTCGCTCGACAAGAAATCTAACTTGTTAAGCCCACGTAGTTAGAAGCCAGGATTCAATCGAAAGCCACTAGATCAGTACCCGGCAGTAGTCGCACCATACACAAGCCCACCTGCCCCTCGCCGGCTAAAGAACAAAGCCACCACTTGTGATTGATAGGCGGAGTCAAGATGAAAAAAGGATGAATGAATGCACTTGTCGAAGGCGATGCATAACAGCTCAGGGGATGTGGTCTTTTTTCGAAATCCTTTGTTAAGAGAAAGACATGACAGATGGGTGGGATCTAAGTTAATAGAAGAAAACGATTTACAACAAAGACCTTTTTTGTCTGTCAACCCTCACACTTCAATGTCTCTGGTGGCGGTGGGCATAGAATAACTAACAACTCATGTGGACGATAAGGAAGAAATGTAATGGCAATTTTCTTTACAGTTGAATGATTTCTAAGACGACCTTCTCTAATTTTAAACAGTTTTTGGTTGTTTGCCTGTGAATTTGGCCCGTAATGATCATTACTGATTTTGTAATTTCCGTCGATACCACGAACAAGATCACAAAATGGTTGGTTTCGTGATGTAAGCGGTGGTGTTCGAAAAATTCACCGATGACTTTTAGTAGGTTTTGATAGTGAAACAAATTAGACGTCTATTCATGACTTAAGGGGTCAAATTACTGACTGGGTTAGCCAAAGACTAAGTGGACTTCATTTTGATGAACCACTTCTGGA